AGCTTTGATTGGGGTTTCCAAGAGTGACAGAATAGCTTGTATCTATGGCAGATTATGTTTTCTAAAGTTGGGTGCAACCTCGTCTCTCATTCCACGTGCTCTTCTGCAATCTGACCTTGCCATTCCCCCATCCAGAGGTGGACTCTTGAATTTAGGTGGCCCCTGTGACTTATTTGTCCAATAAAATATAGTAGAAATTATGCTGTGCTATTCACAGACATAGCCCTTATGAAACCTGGACAGTTCTGCTTCCTGCTTCTTAGCAGTCAGTCGGAATGCAAGAATCATGACTATCTTGAGTTCATGTCATGAGATGCCTAAACCCTGGATTCTGGGACACTTCATGGAGAGTGAAAGAAGCCCAGGAGCACTGAGGCAATAGGCATTATAATTCAGAAGCCGGCTGGACGTGGTGGCTCACACCTGTGATCCTAGCACTCTGGGAGGCCGAGGCGAGAGGATGGCTTGAGGTCAAGAGTTTGAGAATGCAGAAGTCATCTTGTACGTCCAGTTCCGTTGACTTCAGATCACCCCAGTTCAGCTACCATCTGGCTGTAATTGCACGAATGCTCCCAAGTAAACTCTCTGCAGCTGAGCCTAGTCAACCTGCAGAACCACAAATTGTTGTTTTGAGCCACTGAGTTTTGCAGTTAGATGTTTTATGGTGGCAGTAGATAACTAGAGCATAGATGCTCTTCAACTCACAACGGCGTTACCTCCCAATAAACTCATCTTAAGTCAAGGAGCGTACTGAAAGCATCTCACTTTTACACCATTGTAAAGTGGAAAAATCATAAGTCAAACCATTGTCAATCATAAGAATCATAAGTCAAACCATTGGGGATGTCCCCTCCATAAAAACAACTATATCATCTGAAACACACACACACACACACACACACACACCTATCTGAATGCATTGAGAGTAAACCATACAGTCAGGAATAGAGATTGAGGGTTATGCTCCTTGAAAGAAGAAAAATACCCAAGGTAAAATCCACATTCACCTGGCTTTGCCATGAGGGCAATTTCCCAAATGAGGGAGAGGGCTTGAACATAAAATGGTGTTCTTACTAGGCTAAGGGGACAGAGATTCATTAAAATTGTTGGCCATCTCCTAAGCTGTACGTGCTCAGGGAGAGACTCCAAGAAACCCAGCAGGAAATAGCAGCAAGGAAGCTAAAAATTGAGCAAAGATTTCAGCTCCTGCGTAATGCAGGTGAAAGAGAAGTTTAGCTCTGCCAAGGTGTAAGGGCTCAGACAAATGCGCCCAGTTTGTAGTTGAGACCCAGAAATGGCCCATGCTAGGGCTAAGGGACCCACTTGAGAAGTAAGTACCGATACTAACAATGGAATTAAAACAGACCAGCCCTAACAAAGGCTAAAACCAACTCTGTCCAGGACCAAGGTGATCCCTTTGCACTCAATTTACCTATAAAGAAAGGAAACTTTTCTTGCTCTTTAGAGGAAGAAAACATTGTCTAGATCCTACGTAAGTATCTGTTTATGATGCTGAGCATTCAGGAGAAACTATGAGGCATGTTAAAAACAAAAAACAGGACTGTATAATCAAAAACAAAACCAGGAAGCAGGTAAATATAAACAAATCCTCACATTAATCACATGTTGACAGTAGCAGATAAGAACCTTTAAACCAGTATGAAAATAAATAAACAAAATAAGATAACTACCATTTATAGGATCAAGAAAATAAAGAAGATAGGAAAAATATTTCATATTCTGGAAAGACAGGGTCCTCTATTGAGTTGTGAACAACATCAAGACTAGAATCCACAGTCTGGACTCCAAGGACAGAACTTGACTCTTTTCCATGTTGCCTCTGGCCGAGGAGAATTGAATTAAACTGAACTGACCAGTAAGGCTGTTTTGCAACATTTATGAAGTAAAATGCATGCTGAGCACTGTATGCATTTTACTTATATTCTCTGTTCTTTCTCAGTAGATTGACAAACTATGAACGCAGGGAGGAGACTTGGCATTTGCACAGCCAGCACCTAGCACAGTGCCTGATACATACAGGAACCGTGAACCTTGTAAGAGAATGGCCTTCTGGTCTTGGAGTGAGGAAAATTTTCACCTGAGGGTACCCCATTAGGTTCTGTTGACTGCTCCAGGGTCTTCCATGGCTGTCTGCTTGCCTCATACGCTGCCCTAAAAAATGCACTTGCTTTATACAAAAGCTGTTTGTAGAAAGTCCCCACGTGATTGCTCGAACTGCTCTCACCCTAGAAAGAGGATACAGAAATAAAGCAGTTGAGCAGTCACAGCCGGCCACAGGTCTTTGCACATCATGCATCGCTGACTCTGCAAACTTACAGCTTTTGAAAATCTGTATAAGACCTCTTGTGAGTACAGACAAGGAGATTGTTTTCCAAATGTTTAACTGTGGCCCTGTCCCTGTTGTAGGCTGAATCCTGTCCCCCCCACCCCAGATTTATATGTTGAAGTCCTAACACCCAGTATCTCAAAATGTGCCTATATTTAGAGATAGGGTTTTTAAAGAGGTAACTAAGATAAGATGAGGTCATATAGGTGGGCCTCATCCAATATGACTGGTGTCCTTCTACTAAGAGATGAATGAGGACACAGACAACACAAAGGGGTGACCATGTGAAGACACAAAGGCCTGCAAGATAAGCGGAGAGGCTCGGAAGAAACCAACCCTGCAAGCACCTTGATCTTGGACTTCCAGCCTCTACAACTGTGAGACAATCAATTTCTGTTGTTCAAACCACCCAGCATGTGATATTTTGTTAAAGCAGCTCTAGCAGACTGGTATAGACTCATCATTTGGCTGAAGTCTGGCAGGTTGGAGAGATAGCCTTTTTGTGAACATGGTGTCTACTTAGGATGGAGTTGTCTTAGGAGGAAGTCTCCTTAGGATGGAGTTTTAGTCTGTTTGGGATGCTATAACAAAATATCTTACCCTGGGCGACTTATAACAAAAGAAACTTATCTCTTACAGTTCCAAAGGCTGGGAAGTCCATGATCAAGGCACCAGCAGATCTGGTATCTGGTGAGTTCCCACTTCCTAGTTCATAGATGGGGCCTTTTGGGGGCATTGCCCCATGGTGGGAAGGGGCAAATAAGCTCCCTTGGGGCTCTTTTATAAGGTCCCTAATCTCCTCCATGAGGCCTCCACCCTCCTGACTTAATCATCTCCTGAAGCCCCTACCTCCTCATACCATCACATTAGGGGTTAGGTTTCAACATATGAATTTGGGAGGACACCAACATACAGACCATAGCTGGAGCGGAACTTGGGGTTCCCCCTCCCTCCCCCATGACTGCACACACACACACACACTCCCTTAGTCTCACAGACTTGGAAAAGAGATTCTGTTTTGTTAGCTCCTTTGTTGGAGGCTGGTTGTGGGAAGGCAGATCACTACATTTTAGGCTAAAATCAGACATTTCGTCTCATTCACCAGCAGCCTCTTCCATCTGTCACTACTGTGAGAAAACTTTGCAGGACTTCATATTCACGTCCTTTCTGTGGATTTCGCTGTTCCCCTAGGCAACTTTTTTCAGACTTGCGCTTTATGTCAGCATTACCTTCACTCCCACCCCCTACGTTTTTCCTGTCCCCTTTAATCTTGGGTTAATGCTATAAATAAAAGAACCCAGCATTAATCTCCATTGCACCATAGGTGGCGAGAGCACAGTTGCTTTTTATGAGAATTTCCAAGTGGAAGATAAGGAAAATGCTAGCAGTATAATTAAAGATAAAAATAAAAGAAGACTTAAATAGATTAGAATTCCTATGAGACGGGCCCCTGTGTAGCTTTTCATTAAGGTCTAATTTCTGACAGGCACAGATAAGAGGAGGCCAGCTCCTCTCCCCCATTTCTGGAATTTGATTTTAGAAAGAGCGGGAAGGGATATTTTAAAGGTGGGGAGCTCCCAGGTCTCAACAGGCAGGAGCAGAACTCCATGTGGTTCTGGCCCCTTTCTCCCTGGAAACGAACTAAAACAAAACAAAACTGTGGTTTGCTTTTTTAATTTTTTTTCTTTTAAATAATAAAGGATCATATGTGTGAAGAAAACCAGCTTGGGTTTGAGGTCTTTCCTGGATGAACCTCATAAGCCAAAGTTGGGATAAACATGGAAGAAGAGACAGGGGAGGGGAGAACTGTGGTGGGAATGACTAAAGAACAGAAAATAAGACCAAATACTCTTGCTGATCTAATTATTTATATACCTAAATCCTATCTAGCCTCCAGGGCTTGTTCGAAAGGATGGCCTGTAGGAAGCTCTCCATGACTATACCACTTCGATGTCATTGCTTGGCATCCTTTTTATACTTGCAATTAGCTCCACCTGATCACCAGGTGAGTCCCACATAATAATCTTATATTCCCAGAAGAAAAGGTAGGGATTTTTCTTTATTCTGTGTCTGATGCTATTCTCCAAACACAAACATCTTGTATAGATAGATGGATATAGGCGTAGATATCACTTACAGGTTTACAAATGAAAATGCAAGTCAGTTTCATATGTTAAAATTTGGTAAACTTGTCTCATTTCTCTGCCTCTTGCTAGTGGAAGCTGAACTCCTATATTTTGGCCATTGCTCTATGCTTTAACTCCCATGGTGGAATTTGTGCTATTCATGTGCTATGTGTACTCAAATAAAAAAGTTTCCATTTTTTAATATTTTTAAAATTTTTTAAGTTTGGAAAATCTATTCGTTAGAATCAAAATCACACATGGGCATGAACCCAGCTGAATTCTTTCTATAAAAGATGTATCCTCACTTTTGTATGTTATTTTCTTATATAGCATCTATTTGTAAATTTAAACAATAATAATTAAAAAGAAATGAGGTCTATCTAAAATGACAAAATTGAAAACTATATCTCAGGCATAAATAATCTGAATTTGTCAAGTTAACCTAAACATGACTTTCATGACAAATTAACCAACAGGACCAAATAGAGAATTTGTTCAGATATTATCAAATAAATAACACACCAGAAGAGTTTTACCAAAGATTTATTGAAGCAGAAAAACAAGTTGGTTGGATACTTGCTGGAGGAAAAAAAAAGCAGTTTTAATGGTATTCAAAAATACTTTTTAAAAAGTATTCTAGCACAAGACTTCTTCATAAACTAGATTATGGTGTAAACTTTTTTTCTAAATCTTTTAGGAGTGTCGGTGGTTAAGAGCTAGAGCTTATTCCTACTCCAAATCTATCTTGCGCTTTTGAAAAACTGCAGAAAGGCACTTGGAAGATGTTCCTTTAGGATATGGATTTCTTTTTTATTCTTGCTGGTAATATATTGCTGCACTGAGTGTATGCAGTGTTCATTCAAGATCATCGTGATGCTGAGAAGTTTCATTGATAACCTGTTAAAAAATAAAACTCAAATCAAATATAATACTACATACTAAAGATTAAATTATCCCATAAATCATGGCAAAGAAAAATCCTACTAAACATATAATTTATCATGCAAGTTGGAAGATTATGTTGGTTCTGCAAGGGTTACAGCTAAGAGGGACCGATACGTATGCAAAACACTTGTTCTTAGCCAAAAGGCCAAGAAACTACCTATGCAAGACACTCTTCACCTACAGGCAATGAATGTAAGCACCCAAGAGAATGCTGTGACTTGCAAAGAGAAAACTTCTTAAAAAACTGGGTTTATGAAGGATGCCATCATAATCCTTTGAATCAACATTTAAAAGCAATTCAGTCATATTAAAATGTACAGCAAGTACATTTCAAATTTAAGTGCAGGGGGAAGGTTTCATGAAGATTATAATAAATTGCAACCATTTCTTTCCTGGCACAGAGAGGTAACAAGGAACTAATTGATCATATGGCACATCCTTGTACTATATAGACAGGCTTAAGGGTCTCTTTATCACAAGCATGGAGGACTGACAAGGCCATATGTCCCGGATCAAAACATTTCTGATACTGAGGTAGTCTAGGAAGTAACTTAAGGAGGTTTTACTCCCATTTCATTTAAGTACCCTAGCAAACCTAAACTAATTTGGGAATTCAGGAAGAAGATGGCCATCTTGCCCTCACATCTAGGAGCCAAATAATTAGTTGGCTGTGTGTAGTGCTAACAGAAGCAGCCTATTCCTTTTTTTAGTAGGCATGAGTGAAACCTGAACTTCTCAAATTACCTAGCTCCATCTGGGATGCAGATGTGTTGATTTAAAATCAATACATATCAATGCCTGTCTTAGGTTATTCCGTTTTTTATTTAAAAGACACCAACCTGTCCATCTCTAGTTTCAACCGTCTTAATCAGAAGGGTCCTTTTGGAGTGGGTGTCAACCAGAGGGAGTGAATCCAGATTAGTTTCTGAATAAATAAACAGATCAAAAATGAGTAATACTGAAATTTTTTTTAAAACCAAGTAACCATTTTACTCAAACAATTATGACTATTTTTTTTTTTGCAATTGCTCAAAGTGCTACTTTCAAGAGAATTCTAGAGTATTTTCTGTTTGCAAACACAGGGCCTGACACACTTGAGCATTGGGATGAGCTAGTAGGAAGAAATAAAATGGAGTTTGCATTTAACTCAAAGCATAAAATGCAAGAGAGTACATGGATTTGAAAATTATGGATGTTTTATAGAATTTTCTCTCATATGGCATTTTTCAGGTATCATAAAAACATAAGTGCTTTACCCTAAACACAATGGTTACAAGCTGCCAAAATTTTTCATAAAGGAAAATATAATGCTTACCTCTCAGGTTCAGGGAGGCAAAGTTTGGAAGAGGCAGAGAAATCCTATAAACAGAAAAACAGTAAAATTGTTGGAAAACAACTTCAACTACAAATTTATATACTTCTCGTTTTCATCAAATAAGAAAATTTACTCTTGTAAATCATGCATTAGGGATTTGATCAGAAGCTTTACCCACGGTTGGTCTCATTAGCACATTTATTTTACTACATGCTTTTTCTCCACAGGGGCATGAAATGGGGGCATTACAGAATGAGAAGAGTGTACGCTTTGGCAGAGTTATGGGTTCAAATCCCAGCTCTGCTACTTATTAACTCTAACTAGGGCAAACCACTCTCTCTGAACCTAAATTCCTCACCTATAAAGAGTGGAAAGTAGCTGCCTTGAAGAAAGATTCTAAAGACAAATGAGGTGATACACGCAAAGCAAGTGGCATGGTACCCTAGCACATAGTGGCTACTAATTCATGCAAGTCTGGGTTCTGTACCTGCTCTCCTCGCCTTCCAGCAGCTTCCTGTAGGTGGCAATCTCAATGTCAAGAGCCATCTTCACGTTGAGCAGGTCTTGGTATTCACGAAGGTGGCGGGCCATCTCCTCCTTCATATTCTGGATCTCATCCTGCAGGCGGCCGATAGTGTCTTGGTAGTTAGCAGCTTCGACAGCAAAGTTCTCTTCCATTTCACGCATCTGGCGTTCCAGGGACTCGTTCTGCAGAAGACGAGAAAGGCCCCGATGTTATTTTCCAGAAAAATCCCAGCTATTCCCAGAACCTTTTACAAACCCTTTGCAATCATTTCCCTTCAGTGGCAAATGGTGACTACTCTAATTTTCGGTGGAGAATACAATTGCTAAGTCCTTCTCATTAGAAGCAAATGATACATGCAAGCTAAGACCTTCAAGGTCTCCATCAGGTGCTTTTTTGGGTCTGTCTTGATAACTCATTTTCTTTGCCTTAAACTAGAAATTGCACTTGACATTTTGTTCAGGTGTCGCCATTCACTTGGGCAATAGACTGGGTCATTATTTTCCCTCCTTTCCTGCACAGTTGGTACTCACAGTTCCTTTAAGAGCATCCACTTCGCAGGTGAGGGACTGCACCTGTCTCCGGTACTCATTGGACTCCTGCTTGGCTTGGCGCAAGGCATCGTTGTTCCGGTTCGCAGCCTCGGAGAGGTCAGCAAACTGTCGGGAAGAAATTAGAAATGTAGGTTGCCCACACTTAAGTCTTTTGACTATCTAAGGAAAGGAAATCATTATTTCCACTCAATGTCTTCCAGGATAGGTCTACATTTCTGTTTTTTTGAAAGCCAGGGAAACAGCAGTGGAATACTGACATGGGTATTTTCAATAAGAATCCACTTTCTCCTGGGCTCATTAAATATGGTGGAGGGCAGAGATGGGGTGTTGGAGTTTGCTTGGAAGTGGGGCTAGTGGAAAGAGAGTCTGGTATTCTAAAGGAGGGGATGTGAACACGAAGTTAAAGCCAGCTTTGGACTGGAGCTAAAAGATATTTGGGAGTCACAGACAGGTACAGCGTTTTCAGAACAACGCTTTTATTTTATTCGAGCCACACTAACTCGTTTCGTACCTTGGACTTGTACCACTCTTCTGCCTCCTGCAGGTTCTTGGCGGCCACGCTTTCGTACTGCTGGCGAACGTCTCGCAGGGCAGCCGTGAGGTCAGGCTTGGAAACGTCCACGTCGATTTGGACGTGTTGTTCCTGAATCTGGGCCTGTAGCTCTTGGATTTCCTAAAGAAAGGACAAAGAGAAGGTCAGCCAAGCCAGGTAGGGAAACAGCGTCACCCCTCATTCATTCCTTAGAAGTTATTCCACAAACCTCGTCGTGTAGTTTCTTCAAAAAGGCAATCTCTTCTTGCAAGGATTCCACTTTACGTTCAAGGTCAAGACGTGCCAAAGACGCATTGTCAACATCCTGTTTTGAAAAGAGAAAAGACAGGACATGGAAGATGAGAAGGTCTGAGGCTTATCTCATTTATTCATTGTAAATGAACCATCTGAACCTAGTCTCTTTACTATGGAAAAGGTGTTTAAAAGGCATTCAGTGCTATAATACACTGTGCTTTTTTCTCCTTATTAATACATTTGAATTGCGATCCATTGTGTGTACTTAAGGTGGCACTCAGTTTAAAATTAAACAAATGTCCACAAACACGGTAAACTGCACTCCATCATTACTGAATCCACATTTTACCAGTGACATTTAAAAAACATTTTTTTTAATCTAGAATTCAGTGCCACAGCATTTTAAAGATTCATTTCGTAATTTCACAGACTAACATGATGATAGGGTTTGGCCAAATCTCACAACTTCTCGTGTTCCTGAGTATAGGGAGAATAGAAACTTGTGTTTCAAAAGTTTTAGCTGTTTTTTCTTTACTCAAATCTTCTGAAACTTATCCTTAGGCTCCAAAGCAAATATGTAGTTATCTGGCATCCAGGTTACAAGGCTAAATTTATATCAAGTAGCAATTTGATGTTGCAATTCAGGGTATGCATCGCCACAGAGGCAGTTCAGGAAAATAAAGAATGGAAATGCAATTCTGTATTGTATTTGGTTTCCTTTCTCTGAAGCATTGTTCCCCTGACTCATCCTGGAAGGGTGTGTCTATCTTTTTCACTCGCCACTTTGTCAACTCAGTAACTTCGCCTGTTTCAGAATGACTGGTCAGAGCACTTGTGGATAATAAAATTATATGTAGAATTCTTTCTGATCTAGCTATCCCTCCATGTTTCCATTAGCAAAGTGCTACATTCCAAATCGGAATATGTAATCTTGCAAATAAGATTTTATTTCCCCACAAGGGAATGCCATGTGGATTGCTCATCTTGTAAGAAATTATATTTGAAGTACAGTTTATAGTCTTACAGTATGAAACTGTTGAGACTCTTCAATCAACTTCATGGAAATGTGAACGGGGAATGGATGATAATCTAAAAACCAGACTTGAGGAAAACATTCATTTTTGCGTGTTAAACCCTAGAAAAGATATAAAAGATATTTTTCTAACCTCAAAAAGAAAGTTCCATGTGGCAATCTATTATATTGAAGAGATTGAGGAATTTTACGTAATTCCTAAACAAAAGATCTTTTAAATTATTTTTGCTTTATATTAACTCACTGCTCTGCAGAAAACATTGCAGGTGTGATGATCACAAATGCTCAAGGACTAAAATGAACCATACATCACTGTGTTTAAATTAATTTGGTGCATGCATTTCAGCTTCAAAATGTGCTTTGCAGCAAATAGCAGTAAATGTTTCCAGGAAATAAAACTATAAACTGTATTGAAAATCTTCCTGCTTGTGCATTCCAATTTTAAGTTAAAAAAGTTAAAAATCCTTTTTAAATCCATTTAACTTTGCAGTAAAATCCCTTTACTTAAAATTCCATTTTTCAGCCTTAGGTTTATTTTTTTTATTCATGGAGAGAGTGCCAAAGAACACAAGAAAGGCCTCTCAAAATGTCAGGTATGCCTATAGCTTTAAGAACTGTTCCCATCACATACTTCACAAGTCTGGACCAGATATTAGATAACGGATGTTAGCAAATACTTGTGTCCAATTAGAACCGCTCTTGCATCATTACATATTCAATAAGAATGTAGCCTGTTGCAGAGCTTCTCTGGGAACACAAAGGCTCCTATTATTTCCGTCCAGAGCCACCACACTTGCCAGAATGTCTGTATCTACATTCCATAGTGAAGCCCATGGAAACCATTAATACCCGTCAGCCGAGCGGCCAGATGGCTCCTTTTCACCCTTATTAGATCACGAAATAGTTGTGCATAGTGATACTTTCATCTAACTTTAATGCCACAATAGGACTTGCAGAGAAAAAAAGAAACTTGCTGGCTTGATTCCAGTTCAACTAAGTTTCTTATCCTCCAACTTGTTTTACATTTTAAACCACAGGGCAGAACTGTGCTTTTTCGTGGCCTTGTAAAAAATTAGACGACTGGAGCAAACCACAATCTAAATCAAACTGTAACTGTTCGAAATCAGAATGTCAATGTGTTGCAAAAATGAGTCGAGAAAACATTTTTTTAAAAAAAAAAAACAGAAATCTTGAAACAAAGTAAAAAGACTTTCTTTCTGTCCTAAGGAACAGTGTAAATCATTCAAGGTTTGTAATTTTTTTAGTTTTTTTTTTTTTAATTACGAGAGGCTCCCATCCGTGGACTCTCCGCCACTAGGGGGCTTTTATGCACTGCCGTGAAGCTTTGAACTTTTTAGACTTGGGCTAAGTAACTTTCTAGAATTGCCCGTGGGTTGGTTGGGTGGGGCCCGGCGGCTGCGAGTGGGGGGAGAGAGTACAAACCTGTCTGAAAGATTGCAGGGTGCTCTCGGCTTCCTCTCTCTGAAGCATCTCCTCCTGCAATCTGAAGCGGTTGCACATTAACCAAAGGGGAACCGGGAAACCGCCAGGGGCGGGGCGGCCACACCCAACCTCCACGTCGCCGCGCCTGCACTACAGCACCCGCCGCGCCACCTCCGCGGGCGGCCGGCTCCCGCGGCCTGCAGGCCTGCTGCCCCCGGCAGGTTGGAGCGGGACCTCGGGGACAGAGTAGAAGAACGGTCACAGTCCCCGCACCGACCTGCAGGAGAACCCCGCCCACCCCCCGCCCCCGGGGAGCCTCTGCCATCTCTTTGTCTCGCTTCCTCCGCGGCGGTCCCCTCCTTCCTCCGCCCGCCCCGGGGCCTGGCAGCCCGCCAGAAGGGGCCAGGAAACTTTCTGAAAGTTTGGGGGAATCGCTCTCATTGAGACAAAGGGACTTCAACTGCAGACAGAGCGGTAGTTTTAAGAAACCTGTAACTTGCAACGGAGCGTTCTTGGGCAAGAAGTGGCGGCGCAGAGGAAACGCTAACTGCTAGGTCCCGGCTCTGGGCGGGGCTGTGTCGCCGCAGCCACAGCCCCGCTCCCCGCCGTCCCCCAGGCAGCTGCCACCCGGGCCACATCCCCAAGGGCGTGGCAGCCCCTCGCAGGGGCGCCCCTCTCCCTCTCTTTCCCGCCCTCCCGAGGCCCCGCGAGTTGCGTGGGCACCGCCTTACTTCTCCCGGAGCCGCATGATGTCCTCGGCCAGGTTGTCGCGCTCCACCTCGACGCGGGCCTTGTCGTTGGTGAGCTGGTCCACCTGCCGGCGCAGCTCCCGCATCTCCTCCTCGTAGAGGTCCCCCAGGCGCGACTTGCCCTGGCCCTTGAGCTGCTCGAGCTCGGCCAGGAGGATCTTGTTCTGCTGCTCCAGGAAGCGCACCTTGTCGATGTAGTTGGCGAAGCGGTCGTTGAGCTCCTGCAGCTCCACCTTCTCGTTGGTGCGGGTGTTCTTGAACTCGGTGTTGATGGCGTCGGCCAGCGAGAAGTCCACCGAGTCCTGCAGCAGCCGCACGCCCGGCACGCTGCTCCGCAGGCGCACGGCCGAGGAGCGCGTGACATACGCGCCGCCCGGGGACGAGGCGTAGAGGCTGCGGCTGGTGCTGGGGCGCAGCGCGCTGCCCAGGCTGTAGGTGCGGGTGCTCGAGGTCACGTAGCTCCGGTTGGAGCTCGGCCGGCTCCCGGTGCCGGGGCCACCGAACATCCTGCGGTAGGAGGACGAGGACACGGACCTGGTGGACATGGCTGCGGAGGGTGGCGGTGGGCTGGGCAGCTGCGGTGGGGAGCACTGGCTCCGGGAGGTGAGGCGAGCGCGGGCGCGGCGGGTGTGGGCGGTGGGAGCGCTGCTGCTGCTGCTGCGTCTCTGGCGCGGGGACCCCGGAGCGAGAGTGGCAGAGGACGGGACCCCGCCGAGGGCTGTGTTTTTATAACCGGGGTACGACAGAGGGTCCCCTCCCACTGCCATCCCAGCCGCGGAGCGCGCCAGCCAATGGGGACCCGGCGAGAAGCGGGGAGGGTGGGCGGGGGTTTGGGGCGTGGGCGCCCTCGAGCCTTCCTACTCGGCGGCCCGGGACTGGGCATGGTCCCGTTACTTCTAGGGCTGGGCTGGAACTTGCAGGGGCTTTCCTGATGATGGCCCGAGCTCTGCTCACGCCTGGGTGCTGAAAAAGGCGGGGTCGCTCGGTGGCGGGGGGACCCGCCCGGGCTGGACCGGAGGGGTCCCAGGCATCGAGCCAAAGGGGCGGGTGGGAGGGGTGCGCGCGCGGCGGCCACCTAACTGTGGTCAGCTGGGAGCCGGGGAAGGGGAGGGGACCCGCGGGCAAAGGAGCGGGAAGAGGGGGAGTGAGGGATTCAGCAGATCGGAAGGCGCCGAGAAAGAAACAAAGAGCGCCTGAGATTGGAGCGCAGGGTGGGGTCGCACGCAGCCGGGGACGCAGGGCGCAGGCCCCCCGCACAGCCTCGCGCACCGCCCGCTTTGAAAGTGGGGGTGCTCCGGCCCGCGCCTCTTTTCAGCGGCTTATCTTGGGGTGGGCATGGGGCGGTTCTGTTTAGGGACCTAACGGGCTCAGTCCAGCTTCGAACGGCTGGAGCTGCGACGAGGCAGCCGAGGAAAGCCCGGGGGAGAGGGGTGGGGTCGCTGAGTCACCAGCGGTGACTCACGGCGTCCGGCTGTCCCGCCGAGGTTGAGGGCTCCTAGCGGTTCAAGGGAAACCGTTAGACGGGACTGACTCAAGTGTGCGCGGGCCCAGCGCGTAGTTTGCCCAAAGTCTCACCGATTTAAAGCTGGGCTGCAGCTTTGATGTGCGCGGTCCGGCCTTGGGTGCAAGAGAGCGCCCCTAAGTTCTTACGAACTCGCCAAAGCCTGGCTTTGCTCCAGGGCGCGAACTTCTCATTAGCGAGAAACTTCTGCAGACCCTGGAGAGCCGCCAAACGCGGGCCTCTGGGATCACGAATTCACTCCGGGAAAACTTTTTTTTTTTTTCTTTTGCAGAGTTCCCTCCCACCCTTCCCTCCGGTCTCCTCCGGCTCTTCCCCCTCTCCTCCCCGCCCCCTATGTAACCACACCCGACTTTTTAGCAAGATCTGAAAGTTCTAGGTGAAAGAGGAAACTCAACGTCTGTAGTTTCAAAATCACGTTCAATGATCACTGGTTTTTCTGCTAGCGGGAGTCATTAAAGGTATAATCTGAGCCAATTAAAGAATTAATTAGGTGTTGCTTTAAAAACCCCAATTCGATTAATGAGTTCAAATGAAAGGCGATTACATAACGCAAATGACGAGAATGTTTGGAGGAAATAGATTTGTGTGTGACTTTTGGGACAGCGACGCACAGTGCAGGATTCCGGTGACTTGTCGGGGGAAATGTCACGGGTCCTGTTTTGCAGAAGAAATCGTGCAATTGGCCTTGGAGTGCGAGGGAGAGAACTGTCCACAGAGCAAAAAACTTCGGGTCCAGGACACAGAGAGAGGGAGTGTTTGGATTCGGCCACTTTAACCTTTCCAGGGAAATCACTCAGCTCGAGGGCTATTGTTTCAATATTATTATAGTAACGTGCAGAACTTGAGTAGTTATTACCCCCCAGGGGTGATGAAGAAAGGAAAGGCAACCAGTCTTGTGATTAAGTAGCAATGAAAAAGCTCAGTTTTTCTGAGTATTTAGAAGATTTATGGGACACTGAAAGGATTGCCTGCAGGACGACTGTAAAATTGATTCTACAGTGGGTAAATAGGAGAAAGAAAGTATTTATCTTTCTCTTTTTTGAGGGGGGAGGCCCAGGGAGGAACGGTACAGGAGGTTACCAAGCATTTGAGAAAAATACAGTCAAATGAAGGATTTAGTCTAACTTCTTTGGACAAGGCTCTTTCAGGGAATGTTTTGTTTATGTCACCTGCGTGAGTTCTGGCAAACCCTGGCACTGCCAAGGTGGAGCTGCAGGACCCTCTACTGTCCCCCAGCTCTCCTGCTGTGACTTTGTTTTCTCATTCCCTGGGAGGCTGCGGGTCATTCTGCAAGAGCATTCCTGGGGCTTGGCGCCCTGGAGGACTAGCTCACGCTCCACACGGTTTAGTTACTATCTTGTTCTCTGAGAGCCCTTTATTCAAGCCACTGCTCAGCAAATGTCACCATTGTGAGCTTGCCTGGAACTTTTAGGGTGAGAAAAGCGATCTCCCCTTGGGAGGAAGAGAGAGTGACCCTCACTGCTACATGCAATGCGGATACCAGGGCAATGTGGTAGTGCTCTCAGGAGACACTTGCTGATGGTCACTTTGGAAAATGAGAGTAAGGCAGCGGTGCAGTGTGGCAGTGGTTCCCTGTTGTCACCATAGCAGATTCCCCAGGGCTGTACTGAGGTCTCCTGGGGAGAGCCCTGGCCCTCCTCACCCTCTGAGGGGTAGGCCTTCCTCCTAAGCTGTCCTCGTTCTGTGTCTTGGGGCTGTGATAGGCTGCTCTCTTGCCACAGCTGATATAGTTGCTTGATATTTACAAAATATACGAAAATATATGTATGTACTACACACACATAGCCACATAGAGTATTCACAAGTGTCCTTCCTATTGGAAATTGCCATAGTTCAGAGTGGACTGCAAGAGAAGTAGAAGCTGCAAAAGCACTTTTACCCATTCTCATAAAATGCATGAGGCTTAAGAATTCATTTCGTTCTGAGTTAAGATATACAGTGCCCAGCACAGTGCCTCAGACCAATGGGTAAGAGCCGTCAGTGAGAGAAATCAGTAAGTCTGGACTCACATCCTTGTGTAAGATAACTCACTCTGCTACCTCTGTTCTTAGGCACCTTTCAGAAGTAACCAGCATACAGACAAAGACTTCTCGGCTTTCATATTTATTTTTCGATTGCTATGACAACCTATCTCGGAAGTATTTTTAAGTGCTAGACGAGGACATGGCTTTAAACTACTGCATGATGCAAGTTGCGCATTCATGAAGACGAGGTGGCACGATTTGTAGGCCAGGCGTAAACATGACCACATCTAAAGTACTAACAGCGATTTTGGAATTTGCAAGCTGTGGTGATGTCAGTTGCATTGGGTGACTTGAACTGACAGACCAGCCAGCCGTGTGGACAGGAGCTTAGTGGCCTATGGAGGCTTTGGGAAAGCTGGCCAGCAGGAGGTCACACCAAGAGGACAGCTGCTCACAGGACTGTCTGGGTGGAATGTTAGAAATGACAAGGGGGGAAAAGTGAGAGGGCGGAAACCGCAGCAAAAGCTAAAAGGCATGGAAATAAAGATAACAACAAATGATCTAATAAGTGCTTTAATTTTTGTACCTGCTAAATGACAGGCATGGTGTGTCCATTTAACTTAATGTTCTCACAGCATCCTGCAAGATAGACTCCAACATCCGTTTCACAAATGAGACTAAGACTAAAGCTAACAATCTCCTCGTGGTTGTATAACTAGCAGAGGAAGAAAGAAGGGGACAAGAATTTGAATTGAGGCCTTTCTCATTCTAAATGCAGTCAATGGCACTTGTCTTTCTCTTTGCCTTGAAGACAAAATTTTGCTTTCTATCCACCGGTTCGATTCACACATACTATTTCGGGATTGACTGTGTTCCAGGAACTGAAGAGACAGGACGATTAACATGGATCTTTCCGTGAAGGAGCAGATTCCTAGAGGAACTTGGCAGACACCTAGAATATCATATAATTTTATGTTTTTCAAATGATCCATAATACATAAGAAGGAAGATTCGTTTTCATCTGCACTCTAAACCCTTACTTTTATTTGTGAGTTTAACATTTTCACCCACTCTCTGTTCTGTCTTTTCAGAAGCATCACGTGCAACGTTGGGTTTAGCTCTTCTCTCGCCCTAAAACCCACCAACCACAGCAGCTTCCCTTCCTAATTTCCCTTTCTATTCAGGGCAACACAGCAGAGTAACGAGATTGGAAACTTTCATCATTGCCACTTCCTTACTCTTGGATCCCTCAGATCTAACGGGTGTCACGTACCACTCACTGCTTTCCCATTCACTCCTGTCACGTTGCTGCCACTCTTGTCCAAGCCATTTCATGCATCATCCAGCAGTATTGCAACTGGCTTCCCTTCCTTCCAGCTTTCCTTTCTGCCACCAATGCATCTTTCGGCTGTAACCCTCTTCTCTTAAAAACTTTGTTGTTAAGGCTCCCCGATGATCCAAAGAGATCAATTGCTCACCCCATCCCTCGAATGTACGTTTCATGAGTGCAAGGATTGTTCTCTTATTCACTACTCAATCTCTAACCGGTAGAGAAGAGGCACCCACAATTGTCGAATGTACCGTGCTTCCCCGAAAATAAGACAGGGTTTTATATTTATTTTTCCTCAAGAAGACACCCTAGGGCTTATTTTCAGGGGATGTGTTATTTTTTTTTTAAGTGCGGCACAACAATCTACATTTATTCAAATATAGTTAAGTCGTCTTCTTCTGGAACATCATCATAACTCTCCAAACCCTGAATTCCATCCTGAATTTCTTGCGGCTCTATTGCCTTTAGAACCATTGGCCCCAATCTCTCATGTTGAGCACTGGAGCTCTCATGGGGCAGATGAGAAGGGCTGCTCGTCTTCTTTACCACTCTGCAAGGAAATGCATGGGTTGTGCAGACACGCTGCGTAGCCACGCCCATCACTAGGTCTTATTTTCAGGGTAGGGCTTCTGTCGAGCAAATGCTTAGAAATCCTGCTAGGGCTTATATTATGGGTAGGTCTTATTTTCGGAGAAACACAGTATGAGGTTCCTAGAAGGAAAGAATGGGGAATGGGACTAATATTTACTGGTGCTTATTATGTTTAAGCACTGTGCTAGTCATGGCAGCTATGATTGCATTTAATCTTTATTAGGTATTATGAATCACAACTTTCATTTGTTTACTCAGAACATATTTATTGAATATTTGCCACGTGCCTGGCCCTCTGCTAGACACTGGGGAAGGTGAACAAGGCAGTCATGGCCCAAAGCTTCCTGACACGTAGAGTTGAGTCTGCATGTGTGTATATGTGGTAGAGAGAGACAATACTCAAGCCAAGGAACAAACAAAATACTCACAAGTGGTAATAAACACACGTTTTGCTGAAGAGGAGGTTGAAGCTTATAGCTAATGCGTGGCCTTTGAAAGCTATGCTAAGTATGCACAGCCGTCCTCATTTTCCACTGTTCCCCACTAGGCAGCAATTTCAGTAGGGCCCCAAGATCCCCACTATTCCATGAATGTGCCATATTTTCCCCACCTTCTGGTCTTTCCTGGTAGTAGTCCACTCAACAGGTAGATGCATTCATTTTTTCACACTGCCTGCAATGCTTCTTAGTCTATTCACGTTAGTAAGAAACTCATTATACCTCTAGGGAGCTCATAGCCTTGTAGAAGAATTAGGAGGCACATATAGACCTGGAACACATAGCAGAATGTGGTAAGTGAGTCCTGTGGGAAAGATAAGAATGAAATACTGAAGGGTTTGCATGAAAAAATAATCATATCCATTTGGGGGAGACCAGAAAATGTAGTTAGAAAGGGTGGTATTTGAGGAATGGGTACAATTTCTACAGCTTATCGTGTTAGAGAAAGGATGCTTGTGCTGATTAAACATTCTAAAAAAATTGTGTAGATGAGAGGGTGCTAGGGACATTTAGGGAACCAGGAAGAATCTCAGGGTTGCTGGATTATGGAGCAGTTGTAGTGGGGGAAGGCAATTGAAAGCTGCCATGGGACCATGCGTTGGAGTACGAAATGCCACAGAGAGGAGTTGATAATTAAGATGGTGGGCAGTGGGAATTCACTGCAATTCTTGACTAAGAGAAAGACATGTTTTGTAGCTGTATTTTAGGGGGTGGAGGCTGAATTGGGGAGGCTGATTTGAGGGCTGCTTGTAGTAGATAAAGTAAGTTGGTAAAGGGAGCTTGAAGCAGAAATGACTACTGGAGCTTGTGAGGTTAGGGGGAGAACAAGCAAAATCAAGTGGGCTCTGAGCTTTCTGGACAGGGTGACTGAGAGAACAGATGCATTCTAGGCAGAAATATTTAGATGGGAAGTTAATATGAAGTGAAGAATGGTCTTTCAGATCCCCTAATCTGGGAATGTCTTCTTTTGTTTATATAAATTAAAATCTCATGAAGCTGAAGTATAACTGGATCATGTGGCTTTACATTTTACAGCATTTCTAATCTGTTCACTTAACGAATAGTTTAATGTTGACCATCTTATATTGTCCTTTAGCTGTTCTGAGTCTGTTAGTCTGGTTTCCACAGCTAATATAAAGTCAGGAACTTCTTTAGTATCCTCTAAAACAGTTTTCAAAAGATCAGAGTAAAAGAAACGTAAAGCTACTTTCTGAGAGATGTCTTTGAACATTTGCAGAGGAGCAGATAATAGTTCTCTACTGAACAGATATATAATTTTTAACTTCATCGAGGTCTAATTCTCAATCTCTAACAGGGGAAAGAGAAGCTGAGAAGTATATAGGAGGAACAAAAGATGTTAATTAACATATGGAGGGCAAACGAAACAAAATTTCAGCTGATATTAGACAAAGAAGCTAAGCTAGATTTTCAGGATTGGTTTATTTGATCAAAAACAATAGTAACCAAGAAACAAAAAAAATCCACCAGTGCAGTTATGAAACCTGATGTCATTTGAGAGATCCCTAGAAGATATCATCACACTTTAGTTACTAGCTGAGTGAGACTGTCACAAGAACTCTAGCAGGTATTCACCTAGTGTGTCATAATGTTGTTTTTGCCTTTTTTTTGGTGTGGGGGGGTGCGGGGTTAGAGAAAAAGGTCATGATACTGCAACCTGGGAATTTACACTGTCTATTTCAAGGAGGTCATGTAGTTCCTAAGTGGTAGAAGTTTGTTTCTGGAGATATTTATGTAAGGGATCTAATAATAATAATAATAATAATTTTGTTTTATAGTCCAGTTTTCTTTAAAAGAACTGAAAAAAATTATTAAATAATTTCTGATTTGTCTTTATGGTAACCTGTGATATTGGAAAGAAAGCATTGGTCACCTATATGGTCATAATCTCTTTTCTGTTTATTTAGGAAAAATAAAAGAACTCCATCCTACTTATTTAAAACTGATAAATGAATTGATGGATATTTCCAAAAATGGACAATTGAGAGATGCCTTAACTCTGGCATGTCACATTCACTCATCCAGTGAAATGATTTTCTTCAGTATATTGGGTATTACATTTACTCGTGAAAATGTTTGATAGACTCAGAGCTTAAAATATATCCCATGAAGCTTTGGTTTCTAGTTATGGTGACAAAGACAAGTTTGATTTATGGAGGTTAGAAATGAAATTTGGTTTCTAGATATTGGTCTAGGCAAAGAATTTATGAAGAAGACCCCAATGGCAATCACAACAACAAAAATAAATAAATGGCACTTGATTAAATTAAAAAGCTTTTTCACAGTAAGGAAATAATCAACATAGTGAATAGACAACCTACAGAATAGGAGAAAATATTCACAACCTGTACATCTGGCAAAGGGCTAATTACCAGAATCTACAAAGAGCTGAAGAAAATCAGCAAGGAAAAAAAAAAAAACAACCCCATTAAAAAGTGGGCAAAGGACATGAACAGAGTATTTTCAAAAGAAGATAGAAAAATGGCCCATAAACATATGAAAAAATGCTCAAGGTCAATAATCATCAGGGAAATGCAAATTAAAACCACAATGAGATATCACCTTACCCCAGTTAGAATGGCTTTTATTAAAAAGTCCAAAAACCATCGATGCTGGTATGGCTGCAGAGAGAAAGAAACATTTATACACTGTTGGTGGGACTGCAAATTAGTGCAACCTCTATGGAAAACAGTATGGAAATTCCTCAAAGAACTAAAATAGAGCTACCATTTGATCCAGCAATCACACTACTGGGTATTTACCCAAAGGAAAAGAAGTCTTATCAAAAACTTACCTGCACTCGGATGTTTATTGCAGCAAGATTCACAATTGCAAATGTAAACATTCTGCAATCAACCCAAGTGCCCATTAGTTCTTCAGTGGATTAACAAAATGTGACATATGTATACCATGGAGTACTACTCAGCCATGAAAAAGGATGAATTAATGCCTTTTGCAACAATTTGGATGGAACTGGAGGCCATTATCCTAAGTGAAGTATCTAAAGAATGGAAAAAACAAACACCACATGGACTTGCTATTAACTTGGAACTGATGAGCACACATATGAACAGAGGGAAGTAAAACTCAGTGGAAATCAAGGAGTGGGGAGGAGGTGGGAGACATGGGTGAAACCTACCTAAGGGGTACAATGAACACTAACTATCTGGGTGATGGGCACACCTATAACCCTGACTCAAGCATTACAAAAGCGAGCCATGTAACCAAAAACATTTGTACCCCATAATATTTTGAAATAAAAAAAATTTTTTAAATGAAAATAAAAAGACAAAGTGTAAGAAAAAACTCATACAAGTAATCCTAAATGAAGTCATGTAGCAAATGTAAGAAATCAAATGGTGTAATGATAAAACTATGCAAGGCAAAATGATTAAGAAAATTCATTAAATAATAATAAGATGTAACTCAAGAAAGACCATTTGGAGTTAACTGTAGTAGAATAAAGGGATTGGCAGCCCTTTTGGTAATTCTACTGCAATGGTTTCTAAACCACCGAGTAAGGTTTTATATTTCTAATTAGCTAAGTACTACTAGACATATGCACTCTAATGTGATTTATATGGATATGTGGAATAAAGACAACAAATATTGTGGAATTTGAGTTTACTATAGATTAAGTACATATTCTTCATAACATAAATGATGAAAAAATGATCTGATAGTATATTATAACTTACTCATATGCCATCTTTAGAACTTTAGGAGGTTAGACTCGTGCAATTAGAATACACTGCAGAGATCTATATATGTCTGATCAGGGTTTTTATTTTGCTAATTCTGGGCTGACTTTCACAGTCCTTGATTAACTCTGAGTCCTTCAGTGAACTCTAAACAATGATAACCAAGCATACTGTGATATCATGATTAGACCCAGAGTCTGGCTTAGATAGGAAAATGGTAATCATAATAATTGCTTACGTGTATTGAGTGCCTACTTTAAGTACTTTTGTGTCTGTTAACTTAGTTAATCCTCACAACAGCCCTATTTGACATATGGAGAAACTGAGGCACAGAGAAGTTAAATAGCTTACTCAAATTCATCCAGCCAGGAAGTGGCAGATCTAGGATTTGAAGCCAGGACTTCTGGTTCCAGACTCCAAGCTTAAACCTCATTGTACTAAGGTACATTATATGCTATGGTAATTTTGTACTGCTGTTTGGTGGCACCCCCATTTCCCTTTGATGTTCTTATCATGGTGTCTGCCTACCTCTTTGGGGTATTTCTTTTTTCCTGCTCTGATGCAGCAATGGGACCCATTTTGATTCTGAGAATATTGTGCCCTTCATGAGTCATCAAGAAGTCCATAGACATTTTGAGGGGTTTTCTGTGGAGATCTCATTTCTTAATTCTGACTCAACCCACCAGAATGAATTGATAATTATGACATTTGAATCCTGCTTACATTTAAATGAATAGCAATGCTTAACCACATTTGCTAGTGGAAAAGAAAGAAACTGAACACATTTTTGGAACACATTACCTCTGCAAGTAAGAACAACTTCTCCCCATACTCTCTCTCTATTAGTATGAATTTTAGGGAAATTTGTTAAGGTTTTAGTCCTAATTTAGTACTGATATTTTGCAATCCAAGAATTCCATGAATAATGGGAGAGTTTGCTGAAGCGAGAGGAGACTCGGAGAATCACAGGGCAACCAAGATTCTCAAGATCAAACCAAAGCAGCATTCCTGATTATATGAGCTAACTACCCAGTTTTTAAGTTTTCCTGGGCAATACTAATCGCGTTGCTTTTGTATATCAGATTTCCCCAAGTAAGGCTCATGGACACCAGCTTTATTATAAAATAGAGCATGCTTAATGTACCTCACATGTATGCAAAGGCAAGAGCAGCCCATATCAGAGTCCAAAAGTGGATATAGGGGAAATGAATGCAGACAAATGTTAAAAAGCCTGGTGAAATCCTAACTCAGTAGGTGACATGATCACCTCATAGATTGGATTATTCTGAAGAGAGCCGGCAACTCCATTCAGTGGATGTATTCTGAGTCCTTATGTATATGCCAGGCTCTCTGCTAGATGCTAAGGACACAGAAATGAATAAAATTTTACCTTCCTTCTCTCTCAGAGGGCACCTAATCTACTCCTCTCTTCTCTGTTACATTATTTTGTCTGTAAGTCTTGCATAATGATGTGGCCGCGTTCAGATCTAGTGGAATAGTTTCCTAATAACTCCCTAAAGTCCTTGGTGAAAGAGCCTTGACTTTTACACTGAAATCCATGGAAATGTAAAGTCTCCTGCTTTGTTCTTCTTGATAAAATAGAGCATAATCACTAGTTGCTGGGTTACTACATAAAACACGGGCCCCAAACTGCAGCTGGGAAAAGCAGTTAGCAATTAAGTAAAGGAAGTGACTATGACTAGTGTGGGTTTGGGTTAGAAACCCAACACACTGCCCATACGCTTCTTAGCAGAGGAAGGCATTGATGTTACTTAGGCAACTTTTATCACTAAGGAAATAGTTTTTGTGACTCATGCTCATACAGAATGACTTACTTCAAGATCTGGGTATTCAGTAACCTTACCATTATGCTTCTCTTTTCTTTTCTTTGGACCCAGACAGAAAAATTCCATTTGGATGGCATAGGTTTATTACTTAGTAGCATCTTATTCGTTGGCTGGCCTGTATTTTGAAATTTAATGGACTCATGGTGATCAGAGTGAAAGGTCAGTATTTGCTGGAATATATTGATATGTTAAAGGTAGAGCTTTTTTTTTTCTAAGCAGAAATGTTATATCCTATAATAACAATACTTCTTGTCAATTATTTTTTATTTAATGTAACAGTGCTGTTTAAAATATTAAGTCATACTTTTGATAATTAAAATAGAATCCTGAAATGCATTATACCATATCATAAGATGCCTTATTCTTTTCCCCAAAGAGATGAAAAATGGAATTAAAGTCTCCTCTGACAGTTGTCTAGAGATGATAATTACAAAAAGGAAGGAACTCTAAGGAAATTCCTTCAGTAGTTTCTCTCTTCAAATTTTCAGTCTACCTGCTTGCTGTTCCAATAGCAGTTCTTTATTGGAGATTGATATTTTTTTTTTCTGTGTTAACAAATAGGAGAGAAGTTGTAGAAAAAGTTAGTTAATTAAAAGAGTTACAGGTTGATTATGTGTTTGGAGAGCTGTATGGAAGAACTTACAGAAAAAACAAGCCAGAACCCAGAAAGCTGAACTGGCTTCTGGGGGAGGAGAGGAGCCCCCTAGCTTGTGCTCCAGGTTTTGATGGGAGCCTCGAAGGTCCCAGCTTCCAGTGTGTTCAGCCTAAGACTCACCTGAATTGCAGGCATATCTTCTGTCCTAACTGCAGAAACTATGCCATAGATCTCAAAATTTAGACAGTGTTACTGTAGCTGTTTTCATTTTGCTTTCAATTTAGTCCTTTTCTGTTTTTAATTTTGGGGTTGGAAAAGCTTGAAAAAGGCAATGAGTCATAACAAATATTTCTTTGTTCTCCAGATAGAAGCCTTCGATGTGAGGCCAAGGCATTTTGCACCATGTGTGCAATGCATGAGCCTTGGCATCTGAATGCTTTTCTGGAAGGATCCATTAGGAGAACGTATCTGGGACACACTAGTGCAGTGATTCTCAAAGTGTGCCACCCAGACCTGCAGCGTCAGCGTCACCTGGGGATGTGTTAAGAGATTCCAGCTATTAGTTCTTACACCAGACGGACTGAATCAGAAACTCTGGGTGTGGGTGGGGCCCAGCAATTTGTGTTTTTACACGACTTCCAGCTGATTCTGAGAACCACTGTGCTAGTGAATCGATACTGTGGTACCACATAGAGGATGAAAAGTATAGGGTTGGAAAATGGGGAAACTGATGAGTCTTTTTGCATATGAGAAAATTAAGAATAGGTAGAAAGGAATGATTTAATTTGGGGAATTCAAAACAGAAAAAAATATTAAAAAGTCAGGCATTTAATTTGCAGGACTAATTGTTTGCATGGATCTTTGCTTTCTCAGAGTGGGGCAATCCAGATGACTAGGTTGCTGTGAAATAAATATATGGGCATGGTTCTGAAATTCTAGGATAATCTCGCTAGTGAGAAAAGGCATGCCTTTCCATATTAGGACGTAAACCCAACTCAGGTTTGTGAGATCCTATGTGATTCTTGTATTCCGTTGACTTGGCCGACTTGGTTGTCTCTTGAGACCCGAGTTTCTGTATCCGAAAACCACACGCATTCCTACTCATCATGAATTATCTCATTGAAGGAAGTGAGGGATTCAGTATGTGTAAGAGAATTTGTGAAGCATTTTGATGACTGAGAAATAGGACGCATTAAAGATCAAGAATGATTAACATAAACATTGATAACGAAGAGGTTTTTAGAAGTCGATACAAAAATGAGTTGATACATGTGTCTTTTAGTGCTGTCATGTATTAGCTGTTTGATTTTTAAGCAAATCACAATTTTTGAAAGCTTTTCATTTTATTTTCCTCATCAAAAATATTAACAACACCTACTCACAGGATTGTCATGAGAATAAAATTGATTCAACTGATTTAAAAAATTATGGAAATTTGGTTTTTAAAAGTAAAGCTTTATCATTTTTAGATATTATTGTTGTGATTGCTGTTTTTTTGTTTTTTTTTTTTTGTCTAAATTAAGAAAGCTTTAGGATTGTTGACATAATGACATCACCCTGAAGTCTGGAATAAGTCTGTACCTCAGCAGATTTTCTGATTACAAAAAAATAGCTATGTTTACCTTTCTACTAATTCTCCTTCAGTGGAATTTTAATTCAAATTCTCCTTCAATGGAAAATTTCAATTTTCCCATGAAATGGAGGAGATCCGCATACGTTTTAGTAAAGAAAGCAAGTCTGATATTGTGTATCTTTCAAACTTGGAGACTATATTTCATTCATTCTTTCAGGGGAAGATGGAGGGCGCTGGAGTCAGAATGTCTGGGTTAAATTCCCAGCTCCTCTGCTTCCTAATGGTGCAACCTCGGGAAAGCCTCCCATTCCTTATATGGAAAATCGGAGTGCTAATAATAGAGAGTTGTATGAAGATGAAATGAGAAATGTAGACAAAACACGTAGTAGAGTGTCTTGCACACAGTAAGCACTCAATAAGTGTGGGAGGTGGTGGTTGTTGATGTTGTTGTTATTAAATTATGGCATCAAAGAGGTGAAAAAAAGGACCCGTGTCCAAAAACAAAGGGCAGGAGGGAATAGGAAGGCAAGTGGGCAGTTAATAAATGATCATTCTACAAATGCAAATTCATGTAGTTCCCATGACTTTTTTGGAAACTCTTGCGAAAACCAAATTCTCTGATTGCTTCAAATGAGGAACATAATCATAGTAATTTATAGTGTCCATGTCTATGTAGTACTGGGAGTTTCAATCTTGCTTTAAAGTTAATGTGTCTTCCCTCCCCTGGCTCGACTGTGCTGGAACCTTAGGAAAAGGGAGTCCTGGACTTCTCACTGTCATTGCTTAGGTACCTCCAGCCTTGCTAACTAAGGTTGCTTGCTGCTCCAGGATTAGAGCTCATAGAGGGAAAGAGGTGGCAGAGATAAGAAAGTTCTTACTTGACAAGTATGGTTGGCAATCTGGTGTTTACAACTCTGGGTTTGGCACGTATTTAAAACTGGCCCCCTTTTTTTAGCAGGTGCTTCTTTGGAGACATCTCACCACTGGGGATCTCTCTCTATCACAAAGCTCCCCTGACATGCAGAAATGCACGTGCCTTCCAGCTTCTGGGTGACTGTCTCCACAGCCCCCAGGAGTCATTCAGTCGTACACTTCTTGCTTCTTTTGGGATGGTACCTTCTTTTCCTGCTGGCGATGCCTTGAACAAGATTTAAGACAGCTCTCTCTCTTGCAAAACTCAAAACTCATGGGTGACAGGGTTACAGTTTTAAACTCTCTGGGTGGTTCTTTGAAGCTCCTTGCCTTAGGCTTGAGATGAGGAACAGACAGCTCCTACAGATCTTCCTAGGAGAAAGATCAGTCTGGAGCATGCTGTACAACGTTCTCCAATAATCTCCCACTCTTTTATACTTTCAACATGGGTAAATGGCTCTAAGAGTTATGTAACTCTTTTTGGAACCCTTCCTTTGAAAATTTTGCATTATCCTCTTGTATTTTACTTTGGAATGTGGTTTCTAGTGTTCGGGTGCTTGAGCCAAAACATGCTCTTTAACATCACATGAAGGGTAAAAGGAAAGAGAATCACTTTGAGGAGAGCCTGACTTCAACTAATCATCACTAAAGGAGCTGGTCCAACAGCTGAGGACAAGATGGTTTATATATGCAGGACTGTGATTGTGACTGTCATTGTGCCTGCCCTATTCACAAAGTAAAGCTTTAAAGGTGAGTGAGTGAGATCTTAGAAATGTTCATGTGTAATCTTTTCCTCATAGCAGACTTTTTGGGACTGACTTATTGTTTCAGGAGCTAAAATGTGTTTAAAAATAGTGTTGGGAGGAAGTTAGAAAACTGTTAACTTTTCACAGTTGTAAGGTGATCCTAGATTCCCATGTATACTAAAAGACAGTAGTCTTAGGACAGACTAAACAAAATGTATTATGTTTAAATTATTATTATGTTTCGCATTTCAGGCATAACTATTTTTTTAACATGAAAACTCCCACATAGACATATATATGCAACCCTGAGCACATACCTATGACTTTCTTTTCATAGTTTTGAAGATGATATTCCACAAACCTAAAAGTGGTGGGTTTTCTTGGAGGGAAGGATGGAATCATGATTTATAGAAAGATGTCTCTTTTATTTTGTATATTTTTGTAAATTGTTTTACTCCTAGAAACTGGACTGTATTATTTTTAAAATTCAGGAAAAATAAAGACAACATTTTAAAAATTATATATCTCTTTGATATGCTTACTGAACTGATAATATAAAATGTTAGGCGTGAAAGATCAAGGTATAAAATATATATGTATGATTCTGATTTGGATAAAATACAACCCATGCAAAGACTACAGAAAGGCACATCAAAATGTTAACTATAGTTATCTCTTGTAGCTTTTTTATTTTCTTTTTTATATGTTTCCCTATTTTCCAAATTATGTGTAATGGGCATAAATATCTTATTATTAGCAAAAAAGAGACAGAATGGTCAGAAGAGACATTCCTGCAGTTGGATTGGGCTTCTAATACTCTGGGTTTTTCTAATGTTTGCTGATTAGGCCCCTGGAACTTTAGGTGATAATTAAACATTTTTCCAAATACTAGTGTCTCGTCCCTCTAGGCAACAAGCGATATGATAAAACTGCAATCGTAAGTTTTTGGATTTTAAAACTGTGAACTCCACAAAGATATAAATAATGTTCTTTGTTGCATTCTTTTTCCACCCTATGCTAGGATTTGGTCCTAAAATGAAAGGAGTAAAAAAAGATATGACATGCAGATTCCTGACATTCTTTCCTAACCAGAATCATGTTTAACTCCTAAAGTGAAATTCTTCTGCAAAATATGTACTAACTCCCTTTCACTTGTTGTTGATGCCTTCCAGACATTTTTTTTTTGAAAAAAACCAAACTAGTGTTACCTTCTAATTTCCCTTCTTTTAAAAATATCATAGTGTGATTTGTAAATAAATCTGTCAACATGCAGAATATTTATTTATGTGACATTGAGTGAATCACATGAAGTTTTCTACTTTTTATTCTTTGT